GCACGCCCAGATCTAGGCCAGTGGTGTTGGCCGGGTCTCGGGAAGCTGGTGTGTGGGTGGGCTGGTCGATGCTCCTCCAACTATGGGTCGGCTTCTCTTCTTGGAGTTGTTCGGGGTCTCGGGTTTCGGCTTCAGCTAGGCTTCTAAGCAGTTTCAAGAGCATATTCCTGGATTACGGTTCAGTCTCTGGGAGTGATTGTCTGCGATTCTGTTGTTGCCTCGTGTTGGGATTGGTTATCTGTTGTGGGAAGGACTCTATTTTTTTATTTTTGCCTTTGTTTGGTTTTTTCTGATTTTAGATTAGGTGTGTCTGTTTTGGTTTGTTTGTATGGTTTGGTCTTGTGTTTTAGGTTTGAGTTTCTGACCACTGTCCTGCCCGAGTGAGAGCGGGTATTATTCTTTTGAATCGTCTCATTCGGGTATTATCCCTTTGGGATCGTCTTTATTCTCTTGTTGGGAGCTCTGTAGTTTTTATTAGTGTGTGTTGTGTCTATCGTGTCATTAGTTTTGTGTCTTGGTTTCTAGCTTTGCTAGTGACGGCTGTAGGCGATCTTCGGGTCCGTCCTCTCAGTCTATTTAACTTTTGGTTATATTATTCAACTAGAGGTTGTATCTTTGCACATTTGTTCACTTTTATCTATAAAATTCTCTATCGTTTTGGAAAAAAAATGTACTCAATAGGCGAATTCAGAGCATCTCCAATAGTTTTTCGCAGTTTTATTTTGTTGTGACATGACACAAATAATTCTATATGGCATGGAAAATATCAAGAAGCCTTTCTAGATGAAGAAAAAATCATTCTAAACAACTTCTACTATATATTATATTACTTAATCATTTATATCTCCTCTCATTCAATTTTACACATCACAAATGATACGGTAATTAACACAAGCCATTGCATACACAATTTTTTTATTTTCTTTCTCCATGTTGTACAACATAAAATAGATAATGTTCCATTGAAGATGCTCATAGGCAAGAATTGGTGCAAAATATCTCTAACAGACATGCATTTCCTAAGGAAAAATGAATATTGGATTGTTTTTACTCTCCAAAAAATGCAAATATCAACAACACATTTATTTTCCCAAATAACACTTTATTCATTAAGTTTAAAAAGGTTCAATATTTATCGATGGTCGTAATGTATTGTTTGTTCACATCCCAAAATTTATATTGTTATAAAAATTTATTGTGAACTGATAATTACGACTGTGCATTTTATAAATTAAAAAGCTATTTTAAACCGTACAAATTGTTTTTTTT